CCTATATCATGTGAGTATAATTCCTCTTCCCTTAGCAAGATGAACAATAAGTTGTTCCTTGTCCATCACCTATTCATCATCTACATTCTTGAGCACAGTAAGTTGGTTCCTCTATCTTCGTTGAACTGTAGTTGCATGAAAAAAATTAGTGTTTTTATCCCCCCCCCCATTTTAACCATTTCAGCCTAGATCATTGACTTGAATATTGTTCCTCTCTCTGCCATGCCTTTCCCATTTCCTCCTTGATCCCTTTGATTTCCTCTTGGGGAACATTAGGATAATCTTTGTTTTAGAGCTCCTCTAGTTTAGACTTTAGTTTTTCAATCTGTCTTCTATTGTTTGAAAAATATTTAGAGCTCCATATTTTCAGGTTCCTTTTGCAGCTTCTTAATCTTTGTCGCAGCTTAAAAATTCTTGACCTTGCATTGGATCCCCCTAGCTTCGTTGGATAACTTTGTTGCACTGTTCCTCCTCTGCCCAATAAGCCTCGAACTTAAAGGGTCTTTTAGACCTTTTAAATCTTGGTTCAGTTTCCAATAATAAGGTGAATGATCAAATCTCACAGTTGGGAGAGCAATTGAGGTAGCCTCTGGAAATTGCAATCTCCAACTAGTAGAAGCCAAAGCCTTGTCTAATTCTCTCTTACATTTTCTAATCCCCCCAATGGTTATCCCATGTGAACCTCCTCCCTTTGTTCTCCAATTGTATTAGGCTAGTGTTGTCAATGAAGGCTCTAAAACTCCTCATTTTATAAGCCTCTCTTTCTCGTAGGCCTTCCTTCTCACCATGGCTGAGAATATCAATGAAATCTCCCACACAGATCCATGGGAGGTCCAAACTTCTGCTAAAATTAGTAAGTTTTTGCCATTTCTGGCCTCTTTCTCATAGTAAGGGTGATCGTAGATGAAGTTCATATGCCAAGGACCATTCATTCCTTGTGCCTCCATAAGCAGGTCAATTTGATTGAAAACTTGTGCAATCACTTTCTACTGGACGTCATTCTTCCACTTGACATATAGGCCTCCAGAAAACCCTGTTGGATTTATAACTACTTTCCCATCGAATCTGAGTTCCTTTCTTATTATTTCCACTCTTATTTTTGTATTTTTTGTTTCACTAAGGCATAATGTTTGGGGTTTATATTGGATACATAGGTCCTTCAAGGCTAGAACTATCAAGGGGGGCCCTAACCCTTGGCAGTTCCATACAATCAGCCTTATAGGGGAGTTGGGGGGCATGTGTTAGGCCTGCCTTCTTGGCCATTATAGAGATTTCATCAATCCATTCTATGTTGACTTCATGTAGTTGTTCTGCCAATCCTTGGTCCATTGTTTTATGGCTTTTTTCCCTTTGAACTTTCTCACTGATCTGCGTGTAACAACTGAAGATATTTTTTATTTTATTTCTTTGGTTCCTCCATAGTATACTCTTCCTGGGCATAGGAATTGTTCTTACAAACTGAGCTTTCTTGACCTCTATCTTCTGGTTCTTTTGGTAGTAATTCAAGCATCTCATCCTCTATTCGAAAAAACTTTTGTTGTCCTTACTTCAAACCTAGTAGGTGGGATTTGCCTCTTAAGTGATAGGCTTTGAAAAACGTAGGCCATGCAGTGATCAACCTGTATCTCTGGCTTTGAGAAGGGAATTTCTTCAATTGTCTTTGCAAAATCATTTCTAGAAGATTGTTTTGGATGTTGGCGTAGCTTTGTGTGTAAGGCAAAAGTTGTGTTGGTTATGCGTTTTGTGGCTTGGTTAATTGGGTTTGTTTTGATGTTATCCAGTTTCAGTAATGGGCCTAGCTAATGCTGCTTATTATAGTTGTCGATCTTGTTATGGGTTGGGCTTGTAATGGAGCAGGTAATTTCCGATGAGTCTTTTTCCTAAGTGTGTTTTGAGTTTTGAGCTTGAGTTCCAAGGGTCTAGACTTCAGTTAATTGGGTTTTGTCAAAGGTTAAACTGGGAGATTTTAGTGTGTGAAGGACATTAAGGTCATTTAGGGTAAGAGATAGTGTTTGTGACGGCTGAATTGGGTTAGTGAGGTTCGGGCCTGTGATCACAGGAGATATCAAACAGTGACAATCTAGAAATACGGGTGCACTTACCTCACCCCCTTTCTGTTGTTGTGTCAACCTCTACAACCTCGCCACGTGTCAAAGTTTGAGATGTTAGTTTTACCCTCGCCACTCCCAGCTTTACTTATTTCATTACGATCCTTGTAATTTGTTGTATTTGCCTAATGAATGGGTTAAGGTATTATTTTCTCGGATTGTTGCTAGGTAGTCTTGTTTTTTAATTTTGTCTTTTTTTGGGTAAGTAAATAGTTTAAATTTTGTTTTCAAAATTTTTCTTATTAAATTTTATTTAATATATACCCAGTGAATTTATTTTCACATGTAGTCAATTTTATATCATGTATATGTTGTGAATAATAAATTTTTTTGACTAATTTATTAAGCATGTTTTATTAATAATTCCATTTATAACTTGAACTTGTTAAGTCTAAATCTATACCCTATATTATTATGTTATTAAATTATTACCATATGAAGTGCCAAGACGAAAGTGAGTCTCATGAACATGTGGACAATGGGGTGAAGAGAAAATAGCCGAAGAAAAAGCACAATTTCTTGTGATGAACGGAATTTATAACTTATTCTCCTCTTGTTTATTCTTAGTCTCTCTTTCAGAACTTTCTCCTCTTGTTTATTCCTAGTCTCTCTTTCAGAACTTTCTCTTTTCCCATCACACTGAGGGACGGAATCAAGATTTTATCTTGAGGAAACCTAACAATGACATAGACAAAAATTGAATTCAACGGTCATTGTTAATGTAAATTTTTATTTATAAAGAACCTATTAAATTTAGTTTTTATGCAATGCTATCGAAAAAATTAATTTTGAGCACAAAATTCAAAAATTGATTTATACCATCATAAAAGTTCATTTGTAACAATATTATTGTCCTTTTTTTTTCTTATTTATAATGTAACTTTATGTCTATAAATAAATTATGCTGACAAATAATAGTTCATATGATACCATAATAAAAATAAATTATAAGTCAACAAACTGTTTTTATATAAATCATATTTGTATCCCTATTTTTTTTATAAAAAAAAGTCCCTTATTTTTTTTTCTACGATCATCAAAATAATCCACCAAATGTCTTCGTCAATATAAACGACACTCATCCATATGATTACGTCATAAATGGTTACTAATATTAATTCATTGATTTTTTTGAATATACTTATTAAGATATTTATACATTGTGTATTTTGAAAAGTTAAAAATTAGTAATAAAATTTTCTAAAAATATAAGTGGGACCATGAAAATTAGTTCTATCACTGGCCACATGAATAGTTAATCAATTATTAAAATTTATATAGGATTGAAACTATTTTTTTTTAAAAAAAAAAATTGAATGAAGAATAATTAATTAGTAAGATAATAGATCAATAATTATATTAACCAAGTATTGGTTATTGATTAAAGACTATATACTTTTGTAATTAATTAAATAAAAATTCTAGAAATTATGTATAGTTTATATATATACACACACACACATCACCACCACCACTACTACTACTAAAAGTACACTATCAAAAAAAATTTTTGATTGACTACTTTAACCCTAAAACAATATATAAAGACAATATTAATCTTATTTAATTTAGACCTCGTATTAATAAGACTTGATTGATGTTAAACTTTTAAAATTTGATAACTTTACTCTTACAATACTAACATTATTAATATGGAATTCATATTAATAAAACTTCATTAATATTACACATATTCAAACCTTTCATATTCTTTCTTTTAAAAGACAAAAATTAATTATTAAAATAATTAAATTTACTTTTATTTATGTCTATCTATTTTCATTAGTTGATGACAACTTTCTAAATTTTCAAATGAAATTGCATAAATGCACTAGAATCTTATTTAGTATAAGATTTAATTTAATTTAATTTAGATAATATTATCAAACCCTAACTTTTCATTTTTTTTCTCTTTTTATGTCTTAATTTTAACAAATCAGTTTTAGTTATGTTTATTGGAAATACTAAAAATTATTTTATTTGTATCGATTAGCAATACTACAAATATATTCAGTCTCACATTAAATTACTTATCACAACTTAACTTTTAAAATTTGTTCAACCAATTGTTTATATTTAAATGACCAACATAACTTAAAATAGTTTGCTTCCATAATTTTTATAATTTAATAAGTGTCTACGACACTTTTTAGTTATGTATATCCACATACTATAAAATATATTTGTTCCATTAGTATGATGTTGCAAATAAAATCAATCTAAATAATTAACTTAATGTGAAAAGTTTTAAAATTTAAGGGCAGAGGTTTATAAGAAAATAATTCATCAAAACTTAAGAGAAAATAAAACAATAAAAACTAATATTCGTTATGGAAATATGTAGTGTTATCTCTATTACAAATTACACAACAGTAATGATACATTGACCAAATTTTAGGATTAAATTTGGAGTTCAAATAAAATGACAGCTGACTTGAACTTCTTTTTTTGGCATCATATCATTTGGGTCTTAATATAAACTTTAAATAATATGTTATCATATCATTTGAGTTTCAAATTTAATTTCAAAATTTAGTCATTATATTATTACTTATTACACAAATTATATAATAGAAATATTCAAAATGTCACATTTATAAGTAGGCATTTGCTATAACTCAAAAAGTCCACGTGTGGGGCACGTGTGTACGATCTATTATTTATTTAATTATGAATTCAAATAATGCATAATTATTGAAAAAAATAAAAAAGATAAAAATAAAATTTTCAATATGCCCCTCATCTTTTCATTAAATGAAAAAAATCAAAGACCTCACACATACGCCCAACAACATTCACTCGTCACCAAGAATTTAAAAAGGCAGATTCAGTATCAGTAGGCAGTTAGTGGTGTTCGTTAGATTCAAATTCTCCACCTCTAAACCGGTATCAATGGCTTGCTCTCTTCTCTCTCCTCCTCATCTCAGCTTCCCAATCACTTCTCCATCATCAACCAACCACACCGTCAAAGCCACAGATTCCACCGCAACAGCGTTATTCACCGGTGTCTATCGGAGAAGTAGAAGAGCTGCAACAGTTGTTGCTAAGGCTTCTGAGAAAGACGAAGATACGCCGGCTTTCAATCCTTTCGGATTCGTCACCGATAATCCATCAAGTCGTAGCGCCATTCAGCTTCCCGAGAGTCCTGCCGAGGACGGAAACGTCGGCCAAATGCTCTATGTAAGACCAATACCATTTAGCCGCTCTTAGATTTATAATTCATTTGAATTTGTACTCGTAAACTTACCGATTCCTATGTCGTTTGTGGATTTCATGCGATTCTGAAGGAATTTACTTTTGTTTTTTGGCTTCACATATCTGTTTACTTACGAGTTAAACTTGAAGATTTTCTGTTTGGAGAAATATAACCTTGACTTGAGGCATACAATTAAGTCATTTTGTATTGTACTTGTGATTTATATAATTTTCGTTGGATATGCATCAGTTTACCCATTGAAAAAAATACAAATGGAAGGGGAAGACCAAAATAAATGTGGTTTGGGACCGTACTTCTCTGGCAATCACCTGCTGCAAGTATATTCCATTCAGTGTCATATAATGATGGAGACACCTATATCTACCTATTCACATTGATAATGTACAACAATGGTACTTGACATACATGTTTTTTTATTCTAGAGAATAGAAGACAAAGGAAAGGATTATGGCTCTTACATCAAATCAGGGAAGTTTAGATGGTTTGTGAGAGAAACAGGTAGTCTCTGCAATGCTATAGTATCTGTCTTGTTATCTCTCAGTATTCTAAATACTGAAAATGTGGCCTTTCAGGTTCGCCTGACAGCCGACGTGGAACCATTGTCTTTCTTCATGGGGCTCCAACACAATCTTACAGCTATCGAGTTGTTATGTCTCAGGTTTACAGCTGGTTTTAAGTATGAACATTCAAACTAAGACATCTGGTATAACTATTGGAATGGCAAGGCATTGTGCTTCTGCAGTGCTAAAATATTTACTTCTCATTTCCCTAATCTGCTTTTGGTTTCCTATTGATGGTAACCTGCTATTCAATTTTATCCATGTACTAGGGTAGCCCTGTTTCTTTTTTTCCCTTGGCTAAATGTTTATTATGGTTAAAAGGTAAATATGGTCAAATTATGTACTGTGGCTAAAAGGGTAAATGTAAATAAACAGATTTATAGTGGCTAAAAGTTTAAATTGTGAGTGATAAGCCATCGTATTAAATGATTTGAGCCATTGTTAGACTTTCATAAGTTGTGAGCTTAGGCAGGATGTTCTGTCTTATGATATAGATAGTTGCACATTTGAATTCTTCCTCTAAATTGCATCTGAAAAAAGAGAAGAAAAATGGTACTCATAATAGTATAGAAAATATGGTCTTCCGAGTTGACCTAGTTATCATGGCCTTTATGAATACAAAATTGTAAAATATGAATTTCAATTTTCAACATTTAGGGAAGAGACCCCTTGGACCATCTTTATTGTATGTGGTTGCTTTACCAATTCAGTCTGTACTTCTCTTTAGTGATTCTTATAGCATTGATCCTCAAAAGCTATTCTCTCTTCGTTGACTAGATGGCAGAGTTTGGGTTCCACTGCTTTGCTCCTGATTGGATAGGCTTTGGTTTCAGTGACAAGCCACAGCCAGGATATGGATTTGACTACACTGGTATGTTATTTTCCCACAGTAACTCTGGCCTTATAAAACTGAGTTTCTGAATTGGTATACTTTACTGTGGCAGAAAAGGAGTTCCATGATGAATTTGATATATTACTAGACGTCCTGGAGATCAAATCTCCAATTTTCCTAGTTATCCAGGTTTGAAAAACATTGACAAATATTGAAGTTTATCTGTGTTGTTTACAACTAATATCCAGTATTGCAAATGGTTATTCTCAGTCTGACAAGTGAATTCTTTCTACATGGTTTACAACGAATATCCACTATTGCAAATGGTTATTCTCCATATGACAAGTGAATTCTTTCTACATGTACTATCATGCTAGGTTTATGTGTTTAATGTGTACTTGACACATTTTTTTGTAGGGATTTCTTGTAGGTTCATATGGATTAACTTGGGCCGTGAAAAACCAGAGCAGGATAATGAAGCTAGCTATTTTGAACACACCATTGACAGTATCATCTCCCATTCCTGGACTGTTTCAGCAACTCAGGTTCAAATATTATAACACCTATTGGTGTTCCTTCTGTCAAACTAAATCCAGTGTATTACTATGAACTTGCACTTAATTTTGCATTCTTATCCTAACTTTAGTTTTCATGTTGACCTTTTTAACACTTAATTTTTGCCATTGGTTGTGGGTGGTTATGTCTTTATATAGGTCTATCATATGGAAACAAGGAAACATGATGCTTATTGTATACTTGTCTGAATGAAAAAAATGGTGCATTGACCTCAGGTCTGTTTTGCCTAACATGTTCCATGTTATGTTCTATTGTCTTCACTCAATCCCGCTTTTGAGGATAAAACGGAGACCACAGAAATCAATTTTAATTGCACTGGATGATCCCGGAAAATATTAGATTTTAAGATCTCATAGATCCACGAATCAAATTGATTGCATTTTCATAAAGTGGGCACTAGGCAATGTGTAAACAGGATGAAGTTCCTATTACATGATTGTTGGTGCCATGACATGCAGTAGAATACTGTCACCATGATGCCTAATTAATCAACTCACAACATCCCTATGTGAAACTAGCTTTGACAATTCTTGAGTTCAATTTTAATCTCACCAGACAGTGTCCCTCAAACAAAGAGGAATAATAAAAAGGACTAGATACTGAACTCTTCTGCAAATGGGAAGATAGCTCCTCGTGGTTTGCTTTGGGCTGAGGAGATGGATCTCTCTCTTCGCGGCATCCTTTACTCTCCAGTTATAAACCTGGAATCAGTTCACGTAAAGTATGATATTTTGCACAGTTCTATATTAGTTAGTAAATTAATTAGTACTTTTAACTATAGTGTAGTTTGCTTTGAATGTTTGATGGGACCCTAGTAGAGAGTCCAATTTATGAGCATATTGATAAATGTTGACTGAGCATGCTGAAACAATTGTTTGCTGTGACCACATGAAAAATGTACCCTAGACTGAAACCTTGTGTAGACTTTTTGTGCTTTACTTCTTCCAAACCAGCAACAAAATTGATGGCATTTGATTTTACCTTATGAGATATGGTTTATGATAAACAGTTGGACCTTCTCTGTGACACTGAAGGGATTTTCATTTCTTTTTAATTTTGTTTCTATTTGGAGAAGAGATGGATGTTTCGCTACTCTTCAATGGTGAACATCACATTGAATTGCACGGTTGCTGTGTTACTTCAATTTATAACTGTAGACTTACCTTACATATTGTGATATTGGATTTGTTTTTTTCTTTTCCTCCAGAATTCCGCTGTTTGGTGAATTTACTTGCCAGAATGCTGTAATGGCTGAGCGCTTCATTGAAGCAGGTAGCGCGTATGTATCCAAGAGTGAATCTTCTATCTGAGAGTTTCCTAGTTATACTTGGACTTCTACTCATCTGCAGCTGCATCCGCCTTGATCACCTTGTTTGTTTTGCCAAAGTGATCACATTTGACTTTATGATCAACTCTGTATTCTCTGGTCCTGCATTCTTTTCATAACACTCCTTGTAGGTTACAATCACTGGTTCATTATATGTTTTCACAGCTTAAGTTGTGTTTGCCAATTCTATCTTCTCATGTGGTTCATTTAGTATTGAGGACCTACTCTTCCCATCTTCCATCTTATATCATTTTAGCCAAGCTAATGATATCCAGGTAATATTTAAGCAAATTGCTTGGTTTTAGCATTGAAAACAAGCTTGACACCGGTATTCGACTACTAAATGGTCATTCTTTGCATGTCCATTTCATGTTTGATTCTGCTTCCCTCCTCCCACCCACTCATTCACCCACAAAGATAGTCAAATTTATATTGTCATCTGTGTTACTCTACCATATATGTAACATGTCACATACATTTCTTATTGGATTTCTTTAGGGTCGACATTGAGTCCCAGAGTCTGTCTTAGAACTATATTACCACTTGCTCTAAGATCCTAGTTTCATATGCGAGTCTTGCATCATATAAAGATGCTAATAGTTAGGGAGACAATTGAAAATGCGTAGAGGGTGTAAACATGCATGCCAAAATTTATTTATGCAAAGTGTGCAGAATTGCACAGAGTTGCTTCCCATATATGAGTATGAAATCGACACCAGTTTGAAAGCATTAAGCTAGTTCAGTTAGTTATTTCTATGCATTAGATGAGATTGATCTAATTCTGTTGTGTGCCATTCTCTCACAAAATGACTATTGTTAATGGCAGTTATGCCCTGAAGATGGAAAAGGCTGATGTCTATCGATTACCATATCTGGCTAGCAGTGGACCGGGATTTGGTTTGTAGTGCTATCCTCTTTTACCTCTCCCATATTATGAAGCTTGTGGTTTTTATCCACAGAAAATGAGGAAACATAACTTTTAAATATGTTTAGGCTTCTGTCATTTACTTTGGACTACAGAAAAAGGAACTGGCTTACTTTTGTTTTCGATTAGCTTGTCTTCATCCCGGAATTATAAGATAATATCTTTCACTTCGAGGATATTGTAGATTAGACCACCACCTCTAAGTGACAAACAGCTATAGTAATGGTCGCTTAACATTTCTTGGGATGGATAATCAACCTAGTAGAGTCTAATAGTCCATGCTCTTTGAAGATGCTTCTGCTGGAATAATTTTAGTTAATGCAAAATGTAAGATCCTGTTTCCCATCATGAGGTTAATTGTTGAACTTGATTAGGGTAATGCTTGCAGACTAATATCGGTTACAATATTATAGATTGCAAACCAGGTTTGGTTACTAAGTTTTTCGACCTGGAGAAATTCAATATGGTAGTCAAGCTGCCAGCAGACATTTTCATTTTTACTTCTCTCCTTTTCTTTTTGCTTTTCCATTTGGCCCCAAGCATGGAGGGGGTGGGGGGATGTTCAAGGAAGGAACATAGACTTGCAGCTTAAAGAGTAAGGGTTTCATAAGACAACTGGCTGCTCTACTCACAAAAGATTTAGGGAAAAATAAAAGATTTTGGTGGTTTGGTTTACCTTCTAAACTAGCTGTCATAGATATGGTTGCACCAGATGGCTGATGAGAGGTGTCATGTATGATCAGTGATAAGTGCTGTGAGTTTCGCACGATCATTAACACGGAATATAAGGTCTGGGAGGCCTGCAGTTCTTTGGCTTATAAATGACGGGCATGATGAGAATGAAAGAAACTAGACCGAGATATTTGAACTTTTTGCTTTCTTATTTTATGTTTATTAAAGCTCTCACCGTGTATGCCGTTTGTTTGATGACCTTCTTGTCCTTTCTGCCCATGCACCCATTGGAAAAGCCCATTTCATTTATAAATTCGTTTTCTAAATGAGATGACTAAATTCCTGGAGACAACATGAAGTTGTTCATGCCTTTATACCAAATAATCTGAGCAAAATTAAGCTCCACCTGAAGTATTCAAAATCTAATATGCTTATTTTGGTGGTACAGCTTTGCTTGAAGCTGCTAGAAAAGCAAACTTCAGAGATGTCTCAAACCAAATAGCGGCTGGCTTTGCATCTGGAAGGTATAATATTACTGGTATTGGTGATATGTGTAATGATTTTTGGCAAGCATTTTCACCATTTTGAGTTGGAACATCCAACAAGCAAACATAGGTGACAGAATGGCAATTTAAGCAGCGTAGAAAAACTTAGTAATAGTACAATATCTTACGGATGGCTGAGAATGAATGAATAACTTGCTCGGGGGAACTTTTGGACCTGTTGTAGCTGAAGGTAACTCAAGTTGGATGAATTTGAAGAAAAAGTTGGACAGATTTCTGCTTGGGCCTATTTAAAGGGATAAATTTCTTAAGGGAGTTTTAGTTTTTTGTGTCCAACGTTTTCTTCAGGTTGTGATGGAAACTCAGATTTGCATTTCCTTTCTAGTGGTAGAAGGTAGAGGGCAAAGTCATGCACGTAGTCTGAATTTGGAATTTCTACGACCATCATTCACTTTGTAACTTTTGTTATATGATTTTACGGGTTTGAACTGGACAATGCATTGCAACCTCATAACAGAGGTCTTATGATGTCTGCATCTATCTAAAGGTTTTATATGCATTTGTGAAAAGCTGTGGCTACAACGATATTGTAGCCTACAACATATATGCCAACATTCCTTGCTACTATTTTGCACATGTTACCTAAGCTCTTAATGATATTATTTTTCATGCCGTTAGCCTTTTTTTTTCCCCTTCTTCTGTTCCTAGATTATGGAAACTTGGCTTCATGGTTTCAGATGGGATAAACCAATATTGGTTGCTTGGGGAATATCAGACAAGTATCTTCCTCAATCCGTGGCTGAAGAGTTTCAAAAAGGAAACCCTACTAATATCAAGCTTAAGTTGATTGAAGGTGCTGGCCATATGCCACAAGAGGACTGGTAACTAACTCCAAACACATAATTGCTAGACAACCACACTCTGTTTCCATTTTTCGTTCTGACCGGTGTATTGCATTAACAGGCCTGAAAAAGTGGTTGAGGCTTTGAGAGTATTTTTCTAACATCACTGCAAGCGGTATCATGTATTTAGAGAGCTATATGTGTGAAGGTAAGAGATGCTCTTTTTCCCTCCTTGGAAATGTAAAGCTTCTGTATACTTGCAGTTGTAATTTTTGCGATTTTACCTGTGTAAAGAAAATTTTAATTTCCGTGCCCTAAATCAAAAAAATTATCATTTTCTAAATTGTGTGAAATGCTTTTTGATGGCATGATGTAATTTATGAGGAATTTCTCTCTCTGGTTGAAATGATAGGGAATATGTTTAGGTCTTCCTGTGTATCCAAGCAGCTCAAGATGGTCAGGATCATTACTGACCTATCCAGAAAATTGTCAAGTATTTAGGTGTTCCTTGACAAAATTGGCTGCCTCTGATTAGGGACATTTTGCAAAACACATAAAATAGAGACATATCTTCCAACAACACCTGCAACCAACCCCTCTAAAATTCTTTTCCAGTTTAAGTACCAACGAACAAATTGTCTGCACGAGCTCCTGGAACCACCCACCCCTATGTCAACCTTGACAATGCTAGTCATAAGGCGGCCCAGCAAGGCTATCCGTGGTACACCTGGTAAAGTATTTCTTTGCGTCTTTGCAATGGATGAAAAAAGGCAATCCTTTCTTAGGAGTAAGAAAAAGGTCATAGCAAAATAATGGGGTTCTTGCTTGAGGATCTAAGAAATCAAAGTTTACTTGCTAAAAATATCGCAAATAATTCCCTCACCAGTTGAGGTTGATATCGACTTACAAAAAAAGGAATTGCCTAATAAGTTCACAAAAAGGGTTAGACTATTAACACAATAGCAGATCCATCTCATCCCTTCTTCTGAAAAATGGAACGGAGTAGGCTCAACTCCTTGGACTATTTTGAATAGCTAACTATTTGGCCCTCTTCTTTGGCTGTTTACCATTTTGACTGGTCCCGACCTTTTCCTTCGATGTCTTCGTCACCTTGGTTTGTTTTTTCCTCATCACCTTCTTGGGATCTCTGTCATCAGCATCATCATCATTACCACCATCACTAACATCGTCATGGTCATCACCACTTTCCTTTGCATTTCTTTTCGAAGGAGGCTTCTTACCTCCTCGACTTTTCTTCTTCTGACCTCCATCATCTTCATTTTTGCTTCCCTTGGACCTCCTTTTTACAGGTGGTTTCTTACCTTGACTTTTCTTCTTCTGACCTCCATCATCATCATCAATATCACCATTGTCGTCATTGTTTTCGTCATCATCACCGCTGTCATTGTCACGTCCATCAGACTTTCTTTTTGCAGGATGTTTTTTACCTTTGACCGTGGTTGTCTTCATCCCTCCTCCTGATTTCACACTTCCAGCATTTTCTTCTTCCTCATTTCCTGGTTCATCGACATCATCATCACCATTCCCATCTTTGTTTTTCTTACTAGTTCCTTTCGGAATACCTTGTCCTTTTGCAGCTTGAATTCCACTTAGCTTTTGTAATTCAGGAACATAGGCTGTTGTCTGAGGAGGAGGAGGAGGACTCTTTAAATCAATTAACAGAGCAATACGAAGAACCTAGAGGAATAGTTTCCAGAGACATACCCTGCCGCCGGCAGTAATAAATTCAATTTTCTTCCCTGCCATAAAAAGGAAGTTCATAAATATTTCTACCCGAACAAATCAAAGACATCCAAAGTTGTTTGTAGCAGCTAAACTGTGTGCAAAAGCAAATCAGATGTGGAGTTCAAAAGAAATAAAGATTCAAATATAATTGGCACCGAAGATAAACTCAGGACACAAGGTCACTCAAATAGCAGAAGCAACGTGGAGTTGACATATATAATGGAGGAATATATATCAATCAAGTTGCAGAGCGGAATCACAAGCAATCTATGCAAAAATGAACACTACCATCTAGAATCAAGGATATCCCTCCACTAATGCAGAAGTGTGGACAGGATGGCCAAACTGCCAAGCTATAGTCAGTTCATGAACTTAATTGGTGATTTGGTAACTCCAACCATATAGAGATCCTAAACCATTTTCTTCTGTTACGAGGTCATTCTCTTCTTCGAAAGACGTACTAAGAATAGACTATAATTATGCAAGAAGCTTTGGTTCGTACGTATGCACTCAAGTAGTGGGTAAGTAAAGAAGGCTAAAAGCAAGCTAGTAGTGTACGTAGCTTGAAAGAAAGGAACTCAGAAAGAAGAATATAAATAATAACTGCAAAACCTGCTATATAAATAATAACTGCAAAACCTGCTAAGGTATTGCAATCCGGGGTGACATCAACAAAGGACTGCCATCAGAAGTAGCAATGCACAAACAAACTGTTCTATCTTACTGAAAAATTCAGCAATCACAATTAAGAGACAACACAGGCATCAAAAAATAAGATACTCCCCTGTATGCTATAAATCAAATCAAGCTTTAAGTACATCAACCCAAAAAAAGCTTTAACTGGTGGCCAACACTCCTTTGGGGAAGAGTAACCACATCAAATGATAATGCCATGGAAGATTATCAACTAAGTCAGGAGCCAAACCATCAATAAATGCCTTGCCAGGCTTCTTTTCGCGGGAATGGAAAATCCAATTACTAGGAAACTGGCTACTATCTGCCCCAACTTCAACCGCATTATCAATAACCTGTAAAATTAATTGTATGTCAAAATGATCACCTGTATCAAAATAGTCTTACCATTAACTTTTCCAGGCTTTTTGCCCCACCGGAAATGAAATAACCATTCCAGTGGGAAGCGGCCGCAGTCGGCATCAACTCTTACTGCAAATTGGATAACCTACAAGTAGTCCCCTCTAGCCTAGGTATAAAGAATTTTTTACAAAAAAAAATATTACAAGAAAAGAACACAAGTCAATGTATAATATGATCATCCACCTCTTTAATGCACTTGTGCAATGCAGCACAGTTTTCTTTGGACATGCCCGAAGCCATTTGCAGCGGATGGATTCTTGCCTGAAAAACAATTAGAACGTATGATACTAAACAAACTAGACCCATACTAGAGACGAAAAATTAAAGGAATCCCATAGTGACACGAGGATGCACTCAATCATCGAATGTATATCTGCAGACCTCCATCACTACCAAAATTGCCACCTTAGGCAGTCATGGTAACTGGCAAGAGAAAGCAAAGATAAAGAAAAATAAATGACACTTCACTAGAGCATATAACAATTATAACAAAAAAAACATACGTAATCAAACTGTTCATTTTGGAATTCAAGCCAAGGACTATAATTAATAGAATTTCAACTTCACCTGTAATTCTAGTTCAAAAAAAAAAACTTCACCTGTAATTGATACATGCCTATGAAAACAAAAAAATATCTTCTATTATACACCCCAAAGAATTGTGAAAGTTAACAAATTGACATTGAATCCAAGGTCACCAAACAAAAGAAAATGGAAAATGTTGAAGCCATTACTAATACATTCCTGTAACTTGAATGAAATTGTGCATTAGTAAGCACATGGTCCAAAAAATAAATCTTACAAAGCATTAAGAGGAGGAGTAACTTCAAATAAAATGTTACAGTTTCCCTCCCAAATCAAACTAGAGAAAAAGGTATGAAAACTGAAAGTTGGAATCCTAAATAACTCATATAAAACACAATTGAGCTTTAAAGCTATAGAAACAAGTAATTTATATGGTGACAATTATGAATGTTAGGGAGGATAGGGCACACTTACTTGGAATATCACTTCATCTGCAATCCAATTCCCAATGCCTGAGATAAAACTCTGCACAAATCAACAGCAATTAAAAAAATTTAATAGCTACTTGATATTAAGGAAGAAAAATTTGATACAAATCTGAGTCATTGTAGTATGCTCTTTTTTCCATCTCTTTGCATGAACATAAACTTCGTACATAAAGCAAAATACAAGGCAGCCATTTTCTCTGGCAACAAGTTCAAGACACCTAAAAGCCATTAAATTAGGCAGTGGAAAAGTTTTTGAACTCGTTCAGGCATGTAAAATTATCATCTACTAACTCTCGATAAGCAGATAATATTCAGAAGAGACACAAAAGAAATTGATCAGCCATGTACTTTATGACAAAATTGATGGCTTGCAATTAGCTGACTAATGATCAATAAATGACCTTTAAGGATATTTTTATCCACCATTCGCATGTCGATATATGTAGTAGTTGTCCTTTCCGCATATAACTGTGCATAGGTAAGGACATTCATTTTGGGATGATTAGTCATCTAATCTGTTTTTTTTTTTCTATTTCTTTTTTATAAGAATAGGAAAAAGAATACACCATATTTATCACATGATAAAGACACAAGGAGTTGAAAATCAACTGGAAGTATAGAATGGAAATGGGGAAAGAAAACAAATTGAAGTCCAAGCTGTGACTATCCTTGAATACATAGGGAAAAAGTACATACCCACACACACAAAAACCAATAAGTACATGGAAAGTAATGCTGCTGCTGGCCATACTAAATCAAATTTTAAGCATGCATACACAAATTTCTTGGCTAAGATAATGCGAGCAATAAAGCAAAGTGGTTTCAACCTGATCAAGTAAAAGAGCCTTAATTCCAATTTTCTTCTTGCTCAAGGAGTTGAAGACCTTGTCTACTGGCATTAGTTCCAATAAAGCATCTGGACCAAGCTCAGATATTGGGGGCACAGCAGCTGGCTGTAACAACATAATTATTATGACAGCATAATGAGGATGGCCATCCAAGGCAGGAAAGTACGGAAACTGTAGGACGATGGAAGAATGTTGTGTGTTACATTTTCAAGCAAGCGAACTTTAGCGAATCTTCTCTTATCAGTGAATGACAGCTCCAAACCATCATCAAGCTGCCGAAAGAGTAAGAAAAACAATTACTAAAAACGTGCACACATGCTTGTATATTTCTTCTAGTTTTGAAAATGCAGAAGCATGATGTCTTCTTGCTCCTAACATGTGATTAGAAGTATACAACTAAAAAGGTCATAATCCATAACAAAACAATGTTCAAAATTAGTATGATTGTGGGCCCAGCAAACATAAAAGCCAGTCCTTCACATGATCAATTTCACAAAGAAAACATCCAAACCAATAACTCAAAATACACTATACTCTAGACATATATTGAATAGCTAAAACTTCATATTGCCGGTTATCATGAGATGACCCTCAAATGGGAGCCTAGTAAAATAATTAGCATTGCAATCTTGAATGCACTGATTTATCCTATACAAATAGAGACTGCAGTCCAGTGTGACAAAAGGATATATGCAAAGCCAAAGTCCAAGACTTATCAACCGCCTTGCCCATTTCTCATTCCCCACATCAACCACAAGACAGAACTAAAAATATCAATTAGAGAATGCAGATATTCAGGGCGGAGCTAGATGTCGTCCCCAGTGTGCGCACCTAGACTACATTAATATTAAAATTCCAAACGGTCACAAAAGTATAGTTTTATTAATAGAACGCCAATTAAAGGTGCAATCCATATACCTAAGTGATATACAAAAGGAGTCAACGAAAAAAAGTTCACTATAAATCTATCTATAAGACCTAACAAAAAAAATTTGGACAAAAAAATTGGGCTCAATCATATATTGAGTCTATACACGGGAAGATCCAAATTGTTGAGCATCTTATAAATCTTCAAGATTGTTCCGACGAGTTTTTATATTTTGGAAGCATTGTATGATAATTTCATTATCGATGGTATTGAAATTCTCTTTCTCAACACATGTAACCAAGCAATCGTTCATCCATTGCTCTCCCATTTGATTGTGCAATCGATTTTCACTATATTCATTGCTGAAAAGGCTCTTTCAATTATTGCAGTTGCAATTGGCAAGATTAATGCTAGTCAATTTCATTATGACTTTGCTTAGAATGTCATATATCTCCACTACGATCATTACTCAATCCAATGTTTTTCTTTTAAGGAAGTTTTCCATAATTGATTCAAAAATTAATTTGTTCAATCACAAACTTAGTATTCATCATTGAATTTTAACAAATAATTGAAACAAACTTAAACTATGAATATTCTATTAATCTAAACCGGGGAATATGAATTACTTAACCTATCACAACAAAACTATTCAAACCATCAAATAAAAACAGTTTAATCTAACACATAATGGAGGACTACAAGTCTCAATTCCAATTCAACATATAAAAATAAAACAAATGGGAGGACTACAAGTCTCAATTCCAATTCAACATATAAAAATAAAACACAAGAGAGGATTACAAGACTCAATATCAACTAAATATATAGAAAAAAAAATAAACCATAGAAGTTGACTACAAGCCCCAATTTCATTTCAACGTAAAAAAATAAATACTGGACTACAAGCCCTAGTTTTAATTCAATACATAAAAAATAAAACACAAGGGAGGACTATAAGCCCCAATTTCATATTTTCAACGCATAAACATAAAATAGAGGACTGACCTATTTCACGATGTATTAGCCTAATCCTTAAATCCCCATATGACCTGAATGATCGATCCAATCTTCCAACGATGCCGATGTGAGTCGCATCATAATACATTCATACACATGATCAAATCGTCATAATTTAGTTCAAGTTTAGATTATTAAATGCCTAATTTCTACCATTAGGAAAAAAAGTTCAATGGGCAGGGAAAAAAAACCATAGTTACTATCCATCAATTAAAAATATACAAAACAATCAAAATCGAAGAAATCGTAATGGATGGGTTACCTCTCGACAGACTACGTATGATTAGCTCCCATTTTATTTAAAACCATCCTCTTAATCGACCCTAAAAAATGAAAATTGACCTTTGCCATTGTGAAGGTTTAAACCATGAACAACTCTAGCCTTCTGCGGACCAGAACTAACCAAAACTAGCAGCTTGAAAAATGATGGAACGAAGAAAGAAGGGGATGGAGGAGATTTGTTGCTGGAGTGGAATTAACGGGCTTGTTGTCCAGAGCTTGAAGTTTTGACTTTTGATTTCTCTCAAGCACCAACGCTGTGAGGCTGCCGGGAAAGGAGGCTTTGCCTTTTAAAACACTTTTTTTGTAATTTACGAATGAAACCCATATGTTTGTCAAAATACACAACTACCCAGAATTTTTTTAAAAACTTTTCAGTGAGGCAATGTCTAATAAATTCTAAATTTTTTGAAATTATACTCCCAAAATTTTTTATACAGATATTAGCCAGCCACTCTAAGGTGTCCAAATAAAAACTGGAATGTTTTGTATATAAAGACAAACACTCCCCTCTCCCTCTCTTTTGGAAAAAGAAATCCATCTCCTACTAACTAGAATTATGAACTCTACTTCTACCAACTAGAAATTTGAATATAAGGAAAAACAGTCAATGGACAAAAACCGCATTCTGAAATAGCTAGCCATTCCACTAATCCTAAAAGAGTTCAAAGCATTCTAAAATCATTAGCCATGCCTCCATCATCATGAATAACCAACATCACCAAACTCTTCTTCATAACCCACATCCATCTCAAGCTTTTGATGGCATGGAAGATTCAGAAGAGTGTGCAAAGAAACTTGGTTGAAAAGCAAGAGTAAGCAAAGCTGCAGTATATGTGTTCACTCACCAAAGAGCACTAGCTCAAAAATAGATTGCCCAAACCACAGAGGTCAATGAAAGGGAACAAGTAATGAACACTTCTATTTTTAAGTTGGCTAGATATCGATTTCTCGCATACATAAACAAATCATAATAAGAGGTCTCTCTCTGAAGGGGTTAATGATTGTAGAATTAAGTGCAAACATACAGTTGGAAGGAACACTTTCCAGAAACGAAGACATGAGATAAACAAATTTTATCAGTTATGAGATAAGGGTAACAAAAGGTATAATCTTGTTCTTGACAATCGAAACAAGCCACTGACTGTGCACTTACAGCTATCCAAAGTACAAACCAATTTAGCAACTCTTAGTACTTCACCCCCCCCCCCCCTTTCTTTCTCCCCCTTCCCCCCTTTAGAGAAGATAGGAATTAGTGATGGGATAGCAATTCTTACTTCAATAAAAAACTTGGAATACTTGGAAGGCCACTCATCAGTGTCATTTACAGCAGATCTGCAAGAAACAGCCATTCATCATGATCACTATGCTTTTCAAATGTAGAAACCAAGCAACGTGGGA